TCAGCAGCACGGTCAGGAACAGCTCGCCCCCATTAATGATCTTGTCCAGCTCGTTGGAGCCGCCGGGGTACTCATTGTAGAAGATGGTGTGCGTGAAGAGGCCGCAGGTCTGCCGCGGGAGCACCTGGGGGCACAGACCACGCGCCGCTGGACAGGCAGCCAGGACCAGCCTGATGCCAAAGCCCAGGCCTGGCTCCCCTGCCTCCTGCCCAGGCCTCGGGGCAGTGCCAGCCTGCTAGCTGTCCGCACCGGCCTCGCCTGGCACTCCCAAACCCAGCAGGGCTGGTGCTGGGATCCTCCAGCCCACGGAGGGGCAAGGGAAGGGTTCATGCCATGCTCTGAGCTGCCAAGATGCATATTCCCACGAGGCTGGTTTGGCCATAGAGGTCCCAGGTCTTTCAGGAGATGCTGGGAAATGATTGCTAAGAAAGGGGAAAGAAAGGGGGAGGCTCTAGTACAGCCCCCAACCCTCCGCTCAACTGGGATGCTGGAAACCAAAGCAGCAGGGATGCAGAGCTAAGAGCCATGTTGTTCTTCCTGCCATGGGGCCCAGCCGGTGCATCTCCACACCCGCTGAGCCCGTGCTTCAGCCCCTGCATTGCCTGGCTGAGGGCACTGCTGATAAGGGAAGCATTAGGAGTAGAGGCAGTGGATTCTGGCCTGGGGAGATGCCCCCATCCCATTTTACATGGACCCAAGAGATGTATCCCTGGGCTCAGCCACTGCTGGGAGAGACCCCACTGGTGCCCTGATGTGGCAGAGTCTGCATCCTCCACCGGTGGGCAGAAGGGAGAGGAGAAGCCCCAGGCAGCCCTCAGCACCTACCATGATCCCGTTGTGGACGAAGCCGCGCCGGTAGCGGGCTGGTTTCAGGTGTGGATACTCCTCGGTGCTGGTGACCTTGATGGCCCAGATCTGCTTCCACGCCTCATACAGCTGCACGTGGACCGGGTACACGCCAGAGTGGTGCGGGGCTACGGCATAGCCCATGTCGGTGGGGATGCCATGATCCTGTGTGGGAAAAGAGGGTCTCCAGGCTGGGCTGCAACGCCCAGGCAGGCACCAGCGGTCTGACCGGCTGCCTTCCCGCACACCCCGAGCTCTGGGAACGGGCACTGCAGCTGCCCCAGGGAGCCCCGGGGTGCCTGCCCCAGCACCGGGGCTGAGGCCTGCATTTGGCACTTCCAGAAGGCATTTTTGGGAGCTCGTGAGCTCCGGGATGGCGTGTCTGGGCACGGTGCATAGCAGACATGCCCTCAGACAGATCAGGGCTGCCCAGGGCTTAAGGCAGGAGGCTCGGCGGCTCAGCGCATTCCCAGCAGCAGGGTTCGTGCACATGGAGGGGGGAGCTCCAGCCAGGTGCACTGCAATGGGCGCTGCCCCGTCTGACCACGCTCAGCGAGGCGCCAAACCCTTCCCGGCCATGCTCGAGGCTGCCGGGGGGATGAGCATGGGGCAGAGCAGCGCCGCTGACCCGGCAGGGCT